TAGTCTATATTGAATATATAACATGTCTTATTTTCAGCACATTCATAATCTGTATGTCAGAGTAAAATTATCAGGAATTTTTATATTTAAAGACATAGACTTTGATGCTTCATTTACTTTTCCCCAAGAGGTATGATAGGAGATGATGGAAAATACCCACTTGCCGAAGTATAAACCTTCCATAAACAATAATGAAAATACCATCTTCCATTCTAACATGCTTTCCTTTTAAGTTTTGGAACTTAAGAAATATAGCATGCTTAAAAGTTTTCTGTTTACAATGGTTAAATTATAGGCGTAAAAACATTTGGGTGATCTCTGGTGACATATTTTAAAAGTTTAATAAAGAACAATGATGGCATTAACTATTTCAAATTTCTTATTCAGGTTGTATATGCATGTTCTGCACACATATACTATGAATAATTGAATTATTTGCCTAAGGTACTATCAGAAGATGATTATTGTGATAATTAATTATCTCCATTATCTCCAGTTGAAATAGTTTCAAAAAGCATTTACAAAAGTTATAATAACAAAAGCATATTATGCTAATTAGACCAGACAGCCAAACGACTTTCCGACAACCTTCCAGACAAAGTCAGGGTGGGGCTGCGAGGGCCAAGTCCCTTGTACGAATTTCGTGCATCAGGCCTCTAGTAGAAGAAAGATAATACTTAAGTTCATTCTGTAATGCGATGACCGAATAGCAGGGACCTGAGCAGCCGCAGGCTCCCAGGGCCGCCAGCCCCCGAGTGCCAGCACACCCTCAGGCCTGGAATAATGATGCATTCACAGTGAGCCCAGAATCACTGCAAGCTGGGAGCAGGTGGGTGCTGAGGGGGGGGGGGGTTGTTGTTTTTTTTAAAATATATTTTATTGTTTTTTTACAGAGAGGAAGGGAGAGAGATAGGGAGCTGGAAACATCGATGAGAGAGAAACATCGATCAGCTGCCTCCTGCACATCTCTTACTGGGGATGTGCCCGCAACACAGGTACATGCCCTTGACCGGAATTGAACCTGGGACCTTTCAGTCCACAGGCTGACGCTCTATCCACTGAGCCAAACCGGTTTTGGCCAGTTTTTCTATTTTAGCAGTATACTAAAAAATGCTGTATCTTAAATTCAGTGACATCTTAGACTTGATACAACTTGGTAATTTATTAAAGTTAGGGATTTTTTTTGGACTGACATCATGCTCACCTATCATATCGTCCTGCTTCTCTTGGGGCTAAAAGTTCAGAATCATAGTTGGACGCTTCTACATGTATAAAAGAAGCCGAAGCACAGACCAGATTAGCACTGCCACAAAATACTATATTCACAACTCTGTAGACTATGAAAATGACTCGGCCAAAGGTATTTTATGAAATTTTGATGCCAACCAAGACATAAATTGAGCTAGTTGTGGAGATAATTAAGAAGATTGAATTCTGTGGATGTTTTACAATGGGGACACTAGAAGGGAATGTAGAACAGCCAAGGGAACTATTACAAAGTGAAATTCAATGATGCCGTTAAACTAGAAGTTAGGATATAAAATATTTCCAAGATTAAAAAATCTAAGATGATGTTAATTTAAAAACTGCTCCTTATGGCGCAGCTTTTTCTTCTCTGGGTTTGTAGACCACAGTTTGAGTCATTCTTGTTTGGTAAGGAAAGGAACAGGGGAGGTAGTTTAAAGGTAAATTATCTCCGCCTCTCACGCTCTTGAATGTAAATTCAGACTGGCTTCAATTTTGTGCGCAACAGTTATTCAATGGGAGGAAACATTGCAGAAACGTGAGGTTTGTCGTTAGCATTCTGAATGAGGTATAAGCAGGAAGACAGGAGGATCTGCCAGCACAGATATATTTAGGGCTTTGTACTAAAATTTCCCTACGTGAAGGGCCACTAGTGACGAAAGAGAGCCTTCTGGGTGGAGGGGAAGGGGAGCTGGATTATCTGTTTCACCTAGGCCAGCTCACCATTAGTGCAGCCTTTACCCAGAGGGGGCAGAGCGCTGAATGAGTGCTAAAGGTTTCATCAAGAGGAAAATTTCTTCCACTTCATTCTGAATTATTTTATATAGTCTCTCTAGTAAAACCTCAGGATATGTAAAATATAGAGTGTTATGAACTCTGTTTACCATCACAGCTGGAACTGATTGTCTTGAAGTGTATAATTTGGCTTCAAGTTGCTTAGCAGCTTTCCGTGAAAATATACCTTTGTATGTTTCCATATGAGCACAACTATTTTATTCCATGCGGGATATGACATTAGCAAGACAATATCCATGACTTAATAGGGTTGAGCTCTGGATTTTTGTCCATTTTACTTTCAAGTATTGATAACACCTATTTCAAGACAATTCACTGATTCCCAAGGTGCGACTCAGCCTGGCCAAATGGGTATACCTGTTTCCAAACATTAAAATTTACTATAATCTTTGGTGTCTACATATATATATTTATGCTTTATCAATTATCAAACAAGCAGACAAGGAAATAAGAGGCCTTCAAAAAGGGAATGTTTTATTGCTGCAGAACTTCTTGGGCTATTTTACCATTTCCTCCCATATATCACAAACATCTCCTTAGAGTTAGTTGTTCACCCCCCACTCTGCCACACACACACACACACACACACACACACACACACACCACTTAGTAACACTGAAGCACAGCAATTCTCCTCCCTCTTTACGGTGTGCATTCCAATGGGAGAATTGGGAGAAAGCTTGATTCACATTCATTTTACTTTCTGTAGGTAAGCAATTCTATAGCAGCAATTTTTACAGGCTTCCACCAAACTAATTTCATCAGAGCACAATTTTAAAAGCTGAAGCACTCTCTAATGCCTAATCAATCAACAGTCAACAACATTAACTTATTCACAGCTTCCCATTTTAAAAAGTACATATGTCTTTGGTCAGCTTTTTTCTTGCATATGTACACTCATAATTCCAGCAAATATATAATTAAAAAAATACTAACTGGGGCCCTGGCCAATTTTGTTCAGTGGATAGAGTGTAGGCCTGTGGACTGAAGGGTCCTGTGTTTGATTCCACTCAAGGGCACATGCCCATGTTGCGGGCTTGATCCCCAGTAGCAGCTGTGCAGGAGGCAGCCAATTAATGATTCTCTCTCATCATTGATGTTTCTATCTCTCTCTCTGAAATTAAAAATGTTTAAAGAAAAACCTAACTGGGTCTTTGAAGGGACTGGATTTCTAAACAAATGGATGAATCTCTAAAATGTTGTATTCAAACTGTATGGTATTAAAATTGTAAAATGATTTTTATATTATATTACAAATTGATTATCACTGAAATGTAAATTTTTGTAGCAATGTTCAAAATATAGCATAATTTCCTATATATACTGAAGTTTAAAAATTATTTATTAGTTAATTGATTGACATTTCTTAAGATATTTTATTTCTGTATATTTTAATAAAAACAATGTATGACAAATAACTTATTCAAAAAACAATAGATATTATTTAGTTCAAATCTTTACTGGTAAACCAAAACAATAAGTATCTATGCTTTATTTGAAATATTTAGATTATTCATTCAACAAATATTTACCTACATGATATTTATTATCATGATATTCATGATATTGCATCTGTTATAGCCCCAGAGATATAAGAATGAGAAAAATAGCAAGGTACATACCAATATTGAGATTAAAGTCTGATAAAAAATGAGCTTTAGCTATATCATCTTATATCTTTTATTTTCACTTGTTATCATTAATTCTCTATAGCTAAGCATGCAGATTATTTAATACAATGAATTAATATTTCATAAGACTGCATAGCTTAAATAGTGCTTATCATAATTCAATATTTTTACATAAAATAGATGAATAGAAGGCTAGTGAATGTTTTGTTGTTTATTATGCCATTTGAAAGATTTAAGTGGGTAGACTAAGAATGCACTATATTTACAATAACAAAAATCAATAACATTTACTCAATATAATGGCATATTTTTTCTTTATAATAAGAACAATAACACAGGAAAATCCTTGGTTAGAAAATTTTGCAAGAAAAGTTGACCCCAAATATAGGCTAAGTTCATGGCTGTCTGTCTCCTGGTATTGCTATCCTCCAAACAATCCTGTGAATGATCATCAACCAGATACCAGTGCATATAGGACACACGACAGGGATCTGACTTTCAGAAAAGTAGTTAGGTTTTAGAATGCGTGCTAGGGATGCTAGTGTGCTGCTTGTGCAGTGTGTTTTCTCTTGTTACATTAGTGAAACATGAATATTCTATTTGCAGAATTAGTAGGTCAAATCCAAATTAACGGATAAACATATTAGACCTCCCTTTAAGATTAATGTAAAAGACACCAAAAAAGTTAATAGTATAATTATGTTCAATTACATGTAAAATGTTCTCATTTTAGCTATGAATTCTTCATAGCAGTGATGTCATTGATAAGTCTCCCCAGCAGAGGGAAGCACAGCTTCATTATTATTTTTGTAAAGGGTTGAAGTAGGAAAGTGAGATATTCTATAATTTTACTCCATTTTACATGAAGACTGGCATAAACTAAGCACCTGGACATGAAGTAGGCCTTGAAATCTATTAGGAGGCATAAAATGAACTTTGTCCCAAATCCCTAGTTCAGGAGAATATCCTATTAGTAAATCAGTGTGAAAATACCGGAATTATCTTCTATTGGATTAGGATATCCAATAACAATATATTGGGTACCATCAGCATATTAATGAATACTTTGAGTGAAATTTTAAGAATACACTTTCTTCTTTGATATATTTAAATGAATATTTTTGTTGCCTACTAGTCTCTCATGGCAACTATATATGAAGTCATGTACTTAAACTGGCTTCTTTTGTTAATATGAGAATATTGAGCTTTACGTCTCATAAAGGTTTAAAATCGTGATGAGTGTGCCTTGCATGTGTGTAGCTATGCTTTATTTCTTGTGCTTTTACGCCAGTGTTACCAGGTTGAAAGATGAAAAATGTTGTAACTTACCATGGTGTTGTAAGTCTGAACAGTGAGTTAGCGGGTCCCCATTTCGTATATCTTGTCGTCTTGTGCGTCTAAAACAATTCATTTAAAAGATGTTATTGTATTTCTTTTCCCTCTTGGGAATGTGTCATAAGAATTAAGGTGAATTAAAAAGCAAAGACTTTAAGAGTTTATTGAAAGAGATGCAGCCATGACTAAAATATTTTAAAGTACTTGTAAAAGCAGTTTCCAAGCTGATCAAAATGGGAAACAGTATACAAATCTATTAACAATGTGTTAAAAGACTTTCAGTCACTGATAACAAATATTCTTTCTTTTTTTTTTCTACTGGATGTGATCCAATAAGGACCTAACATCTAGAAACTCCTAAATTCTTAACATCTTAAATTCTTATTCTGAGCAAAAAGCATGAAAAATGGAATCGCAATCCATTTCTTCAATAAACAGAATTAAACATTTTTTTCTGATCACTAATGAGGAAGTAAGCTTGAAAATTAAAATTCACATGAATGTTCTCTTTCTCTTAACACATATCTTTGTTATGTTAATAGAGTTCCTTTAAGTTTAAAAGTATAAAGATTATGGATTCTATTTTTAAGTTAGTTCTTAATTTTCTTGTATGGTTGCTATATCAACCTTTTTTAAAAGAAAATATGTCTTTTATGACCATAGGGCTATGATTGCAAACTGATTTACCCGTGAAGTGAATAAAAGAAGAAAAGCAACAATAAATATTGATCAGCAAGGCCTTCTTTTGTCAGAATAAGGCGGAAGAGAAGACAATGAACTCACCTCTAAAAGAAAAGCCAAAGTTGCTATAAAAATCTAAATGAGTTTCTCCTACATTGTACTGCTCAGATCATGTTAGCTGCAGTACATTCTGGGTGTCCCAGCTGCACTTAGCCAATGGTTGGCCCGGAAGAAAGAGGTTGGCTTTAGCAATTGTGGTGCAAACAAGACATGTACTTCCAGAAAGAGCCTAAAAGTGGAGACTGGCTATGTGTAACAGACCGGAAAAGATTGGGGACACTCGCCCAACTGTTTTCTGCATCTATTTTAATGGGTATTGTCTTTCTGAAAAGTTAGTTACCATCCCTAAAAAGAGCTCTCACAAAGGCCATTGAGAATTTGTTACTGTATTCATAAATTTAGAAGTCCAAAGTATTTATAGATTCCTATTTGTAGAATTGGTGAGACTATCAACAGATGTTGCACATTTCAAAATTGAGCCAACAAGAGAACTTGTGAAACACGAACCACAAAGCACTTGGGAAGGCATTTTTTACTGCATTTTAAGCTTTTGAAAAAATGCCATCACAAGGAATACATAAATGTGAGGTCTTTAAACATCCTTTACAAAGAAACATGCAGTTGGATTAAGTAAAATCTGCTAGGCATAACAAAATGTGTTAATAATAACTTCTTCAATCATGAATGGTAGGAATGCAATAGACACATTTCAAATTTATAACACACAGCTTTTTAACATATCAGAGCTGTAGTTATGATTTTTAATCCTTCTTATTAAAATTAGCTTAAAACTAGAAAGGATTATTACTAAATTAGGCAATATTATACATTTTCCCATGAAAAGGAAATAATACTCAATTTTAGTTCAAACATGAATTCACATTTTTGAGTAACATTAAAAGCCCCATAAAGCTAAATGATTTCAGGAACCGTAACATTTTAATCAAATACTTAATTTGATTGCTGTAAAAACTGCACATTGTTATTTTTTAAATTATCCATAGTTTCTTTAATCAATAATACATGATCTCCACAGTAAGTTTTTGTTTTAAATGTTAACTTCCAACAAAATCAGTAGGAATATGAAAATGATACAAACATATCATCCCAATGCTGAGTGTTAAAGGCTTAAGAAAACTCTATTTACGAAATGGAATAGGCTAATACTACCATGGCACTTAATATTATGAACTATCTTTTATCCACATGGACTGATTATATGATAGATTTAAGTTGAAGATGATTTACCACTACATTTCCCCCCGTGTAAAATGAAGTTGCAAAACTTTATCATTTCCAAGTACAAACATTCAAAGATATGATTGGGATGTTTTAGATTTCCCTCGGTAATTAATTAAAACCATTTATCCCATTACATTTGTACCCAACTATCCTATTATATATTTTCTGATTGTTTTGACTAAGGAAAAGGGGGAAAACAACCACCTCCAAACCGCTTTTTACTAATGGAAAACAGTTGGTATACTTATATGAAGGAAGCCGTTTCAAAAATGAAATCAGGTAGAAGAAGTAGCAAACATTTTGTTTACTTCTAGTATCTCTCCTACCTCTTTGCAGTAGGAAAATAGCGAGAGCAGGAGGAGCCATCCCAGGCACAGTAAGGGTCTCGGGCGAGGCAGCACTCCGCACAGGCTTTCCCGTAGATGTCACACCGGTGCAGAGGCAGCTGGGCCACCCCCGCCATGGAGCCGATGTAGAGCTGTTGCTGTAGAAAGAATTTATGATTATGACAAAACTAACTTGTTTTTCAAAGTTTTCTTTAAAAAAGTGTATACGTATCAAAGATAAATTTATATTTTCAGGTTTTAAAAAAAAATCTCATTATTGGTAGTTTCTTCAAAGGCCTGGCAGATAATGTGACCATTTAAAAATGGAGCAACATTAAAATTCAAATATTTGACTGAAACAGGTGAATTTTATAAGTATAAACCCAAGGGAAAATAAAGGAAGACAGTGATAGTGATAGGTCAATTATACCTAAATAAAAAAATTAAAGCCAGTAAGACAATGTAATGGTAAAATCTTCAGTTCTTTGTTCTTAGATAGCTGTTTCCACTTCTACTGCTCATCGTTTTGATGGATCGGATGGTCTGCATTGCTGTGTATTCCTGAGGCAGCGATCCTTTGCTTCTGTCTTCTGGGTGCCCACCTTGCCTGGGATGTAGTTTCAGGGCTTGCATTTGTGAGACACTTTGCTCAAAACCAAATGCGTTGTCCTTGCACTACCTCCAGGAAGATTACTTTAAACAAAACCACGAAATGAAATGACTTCTCATTTGAAATGTCATCAAAGAGGGAGATCAAGTGTACTCTGGCTGGTGCAGCAGACTTAACGCTAAGGCTCAGGCACCGCGGGCAGTGCTGCAATGGGCAGCGAGACACCTGGATTCCAGGTCTTCCCCTACACTACCTCTCTCTGTGGCCTTGGGCAACCACTTAATTTTCTAAGACTTTTCCACAAAATGTGCATGTTTAAATCTTCAAAGTATGCATCCAGATAACATGTTTTACTATGCCGTTATCCTCAATGAGTTTGGAGTTACCCAATAAGGCAGTACCAACAGATTCAGGATTTCAGCACAGTGTGAAAAGTACCTTTTACAAAATTGAGCCAATGGAGCATATCAGCTGCAAATTTATCTAAACACAAAATGAAATTAAATAAAATTATTTTGTGTTTTCTTCACATTTTACTGTAGTTGGAGTCATAGCTTCCTTTTCTTGCACTACAGGATTGAATAAACGCTATATACATACTGAAATATGTAACAGTTCTCATGGAAAAGATCTTAAAAGTCTTTTTTTTTCATTTCTTAACTATCTAAATAAAAAATAAGTTACAGAAAAGCTGATCTATGAAGCATGTGTGCTCTTTTAAATATTGCAAACTTCCTGAAAGTCAGCAATGGGTATAAATAAAATTGCATTTCCAAAAGACTTTCAAAGATGGACTACATATGTGAATAAACAAATAAGCTGAATAAAAATGGAAGTGTCTATTGGAATGAAATAAATTGTTAAGATTATAAGGAGTATTTTTATAGAAAATAATTCTGTCCTTCAAGTTAACCAACTAATTATATCTCAATACAAGAAAGGGAAAACAAAGAAATAATAAAAAATACATTAAACAAAAAAGAAAAAAGAAAAAAGGGAGCTAAGAGGAAAGAAGCAATACAACAAAAAACAAACCATAGTGGAAGCAGTTATCCTGACAAATATTGCTCATTTATTCCAGTAAGTGAAAACTGTTTATATTATACTATTCTAGTATAGTACAGAGCATACATTACAGTTGCTCAACTTTTTACTGTATTCATCTTTTATTACTATATACTGAATGATGTTATAAATCATGGCAAACTAAGAAATGAAAAAGTCATTGAGAGGAAAAAATGAAGTATTATCTCTCAGCTTTTCATTGAGAGATACTTAGGTTAAGTTTTATCTTTCTTAAAAGCATCTGCAGTGTGCAATAACAGTTGACCATAATTTGAAAAATATTAACACATAACTTAATTCACAGAATCAACTTTCCCCCCCTCCTATCCTCCATTTCTGTTTTCTAAAAGCATCATTTTTTTAAAAAAAATAAACTTACTGTTGATGTTTTATGGATATTAATTTATCCATAAAACAAGCAGACAAGGAAATAAGATTTAGATTGTATTGAAAGCAAGCAATCTCAAGGTAAATTTAAAAATGAAACAAACACATAATACCTAAACAACAATTAAATTAGTTAAAATAGGGTATTAATATCCAGAAGCATAGTTGGCATTGGTGAATAAGGACACACTGAACCATATAGTGTGGTCATAACTATTTAAAAAGCTATTGACCAAGTTGGTCAACCCATTCAAAAGACCTCTATGCTTGTCTAATAGCTTTTAAGAAGAATGAGCAAAATTCATAATCACAGATTTTTAAAAATATGACATTTGAGTAGAAAACCAGTTGTTATTATCTAAGTAATATTTAAATATATCATATCTCTTTAGAGAAAAACAGAAAAATAATACATGAGAAGAATAGAAAACTCCAAATATGGCAACTAAAATTATTGTAATAAAAACCTAAAGTTCATAAAATGGCAAAAATTAAATACAACTCAATGGCCAGCTTATATATTACAATTATTCTGCAGTACTATTAATGATTTGCAAAACCAATTATGCTATCTAAATGGAATACATGGGAGGTTTGCAGGCACCATTGAGCTTAATCCAGTCACTAGCAAGCAACCTGATGTGCTTTTTCTGCCCAATTTAACATCACCATAGGCTTTCTCACTATCCTCCTTAACAAGTTGCAGGTCATAAAGCAGGAGATGAGTCCATTTATCCAGAAAATTAGTTGTAACACTGATTATCCCTCTTGAAACTACTGCCTCACTCTTACAATTTCCAGGAGCATAAAAGAAATTGAGTCACATTTTAATGATATAGAACTCCCACTATTGGAAAATAAAGACTGGGGACATTTCTTCTATCATGGAATTTTAAACTGATACACTTTTTTGTTTGTTTATTTGTTTGTGTTTGGTGTTTTTTTTTATTTTGGTGAAATCTATTACATTTCATAGGCAATTATTGAGTTAGCTTTGACATTTTTTTAAACAGAAAGATATGTTTTACAATACTAGATACAACATAATGGAGATTGGCAATGAAACCTAGCAGAGAATAACTAACTTAACAACTCATTATGGGAAAGAATATCCCAGTCTCGATTTCATCCTGGAAATCCCCAGATTTGCTTGCCAACATTTGACAATTTTTAGATGATCAGAACAGGTGAACACATGCTTATGAAGTGTAAGATAACAGTATCAGGTCAATAATAGCTGCACTCTGAGTTTCTGTAAATATCTTGGAGGTTATCAATCTATTTTGACATGTATGTGTGGAAAGGATATACTCTGTTTTATTGGCACAGTATTTTAGTGTCTTGTACGAGGGCTAATGCATGGTCAGAGATAAGATAGTTTAGAGATAAGATTAGCCAAATGATTCTCATATTAAACTATTTGTGTGTCAGTTCTCACTGCAATGAGTGAGGGGCTCCCCAACCATTCTGCTTTTCCCCCCTCTACCAGGTTATTTACTAATTCGTTATTAATTCAACTCAATATTAAAACCTTTTAAAAATATAATTACCAGTTACATATTGGATAGAAAGGGTAGATAACATTTATGGGGAAAAGGTATTTGGTTAGCAGTTAAAATTATATTTGTTTTGTACATGTCATTTAGCATTTAGAAGTCATTTGTGTTCAAGTGTCTTGCCAAACATTCATTCAGTGTGACTGGAAAGTCTGTTAACATGCTGTCCATAACCTATGAACTCATGGAGTTTAATAACATCATTTGGCAGTGACTGTTTTGCCATTTTTCCTTCATAGTTAGCCAAAATAAATGTTTTCTCTAGACTATAATACCACTGAAAAAGTAAGTTACCTTTAAAGTCAAGATCTCCAAACATATATAGTCTAGTGCAGGGGTCCTCAAACTACGGCCTGAGCGCCACATGTGGCCCGCCGTAAACATTTATCCGGCCCACTGGGTGTTTTTGCCGCTGCTGTGTGCATAGGAATTTGTTCATAGTTTTTTTTTTTAAACTATAGTCCGGCCCTCCAACGGTCTGAGGGACAGTGAACTGGCTCCCTGTTTAAAAAGTTTGAGGACCCCTGGTCTAGTGCATACTTTTAAGCCTATAAAATGTACTTTGTTTATATATACAGATGAATTAAATTCTAAATTTATATTCTGAAATATCCACCACTGTTATTTTTAAAGGAAAGATAGTTAGATGAATAATTATTTAGTACATTATATCATAATAACCAGAAATGCTATAAGCGAAAATTTACAACAAGTAATAATCTAACAAGTATATTTATAGGACATATATGAGATTGGCCAAAACGTGAGGGCAATGAAAATATCTTTAGATTTTTTTCTACTAGCTTTTTGTAAAAACATTCTTTTCTTTTTTTTTTTTGAACAATTGTCAATTTTATGGATCATCAATATATTCATGTATTTAAAACACAAAATTAAAACAATGTAGAATACCGATTTTAATATGTAATGATATTACCTGCTTAGTGGAAAGCTCCATTGCTGAAATAGTTGTTGGTTCCTAAAGAAGGAAAAGAAAAATGTGAACTTTGGTAAATTATAAAAGTCATCAGTTAATTAAATAGAACACAAACATATGTTTTCAGAGAGAAAACTTCAGTACCCGTAAGAAGCAATATAACTGAGAAATAAGATACATTAAGGAAATTTCATAGATAAGTGTTAAATGTGTAGAACAGACAATAAGAGTGTGTTAATGTCTTTCAGCCAAAGACCATTAGGAACACACCTGCAGTTGATTAAGTTGGGTTTACTGCTCACCACAAGAAAGGATGCCATGGAATTGCTCAGTAAGTATTGAAAGAACTTACATCTTTTGGACCAGTGTTAGGTAATTTGATATAGGTTTCAAGAAAGTGGGGCTTTGCTCTGCACTGGATTCTATCAAAAAGCAGAGATAATTCTTTAATTGGGTATCTTTATAAATCTTATTTAGAAGGAGGGAAGAACAGAGTGAAGATAAAGCCATGGTTGAAAACAAGTAGCAATCATTCATATAGGTAAGATATGTGATTTGGTCATCTTTTATGGTTTGGACAATGTTTGTGTTCTTGTCTGTGTTTGGGCATAATTACAGGAAGGTCTTGCTTTCCTCTTGACTCATTGGGGTCTCAGAGCAGCCCTACCTGCTGTTGGTGTTCTGTGAAAATGTGTGCGTACGTTCAACTGGGGAACACCGGGTCCTGGCTGAAAGTGCCAGGCAACTCCTCACAACATCCGTGATGAGCTGATAACGTTAGGCTAGTTTCCAGCCATGGGGGACTGTGGGAGCTCAGTTGGGATGAAAACACTGTTAAGTGTTCTACTGCAGCCTACCAAGATGGGCTTATTACTCACTGCAATAAAGGATGCCACGGAACTTCTCAGTTAAGTGTTAGAAAGGCTTACGTCTTTTGGGCTTGTGTTAGGTGATTTGAACATATGCAGTTAGCATGAATAAATACTATTCTCTTATGTACTTAGGCCACCAAAAGGTTATTCCTCTGAACTCATTAGCTTATTCCTCTTAATGCTAGGAAGGAGATTGCTTAGGGGTTTGAGAGGCGGCTAATGAGAACAAAGCTTTGTTAGGTAGGAAGAATAATTTTAAAAGGCCTCACTGTGTAGGTGGCTGAAACTGAGCCCTAAAAAAAGTATAAAGAGCTGAACTCTGGAGCCAAACAAACAGTATGGATTCCAACAGTAACTCAAACCTGGCCATAAGGGTGATATTAGGTGAGCTATGTAACTTCTTTGTAGTTCAGTTTTCTCATCTCAGAGGTTGAGAAGATTAAATGAGTTAATACCTGCAAAGCACTCTGCAAGTGTGCTTCTCTCTCTCTCTCTCTCTCTCTCTCTCTCTCTCTCTCTCTCTCTCTCTCTCTTTCACACACACATACACACACATCCTTTTCTTGCTTTAGCCTTTCTATTTAGTGCTTATCACTATCTGGAAATACACACAAGTTCCCCCAACCTCCCAAAGCAGAATCCGAGGTAAGCTCATATCTGCAGGTGGAGAGGAGGAGTGAAGAACTAAGAATTGAGAGGAAGGAGGAAAAATAAATAAAAGGATGTGTCATTGAAGTTACCACTGAGAGAAAATCTAAGAATAATGGACAGTGACTGCCAAAACTCTCCACTGAGGTTTGTACCAGGAAAAGTATTTATTCATTCCATTACTCAGTGGATGCGCACGGGGATGTTAAATCTCCCACACTCCCAGGGGTGACTCTTGCTTGCCCTTTTGCCTGCTGTCAGACAAGTCCTGGGGCAGAAAGAGGAAGACACACAGTGGGAATTAGAGGTAGGCTGACAGGATGTGAGGAGGGTCAGCAGAAGCATCTAATATGTCTTCTTAGTTATTTGTCTGCCCTTTCAACCCCAACCCCCCACCCCAACACACAAATTTAGGACAGGAATTTTTGTTTTATTCACTGCCATATCCTAGCACCTGGGGTTGTTCCTGGCATTTATAAGTTTTTCATAAGTATTTGTTGAATGAATAAATAAGTAAATTAAGGAATAAATCCTCTACCAATTTTCTCCTTTTTCTTTTATCTTTTCTATTTGCCCAGTATAGTCTGTTCCTTCCACTGAATTTGTATATGAAATAAAGGCAGCTATCATTTAAAAAGTCCTTAATTCTGTCTGGCTAGTGTGATTTAGTTGGTTGGACATCGCCCCATGCACTGAAGGGTTCCTGGCACATGCACCCGGATTGTGGACTGGATTCCTGGTGGGGAACATGCAGGAGGCAGCTGATTGATGTTATGCTCTCTCATTGATGTTTCTCTCTTCTCCCTTCCTCTCTCTAAAAAGCTATAAAATACTTTAAAAAATAAAAAGTCCTTAATTCTTCAATCTTAGCTAGAATTTCTTTCAAAAATATTCAAAATATTCTATACTCACTGTCTCTATTTGTTCATATCCCACTCAGTGCCAGTAATCCTTCAGCCCACTGAGTCTAGTACTTACTCTAGAGAGGTTGCCTAACATTCTCAAATACAGAAATTACCAAAGAACTGATTAGCTGAATGAACACTTTCAGCCTGTCTTATTATTTCTGGACTTTGTTTAGATGGCATTATTGACCACTTATTTCTTCTAACTAATGTTTCAGTTTTCTCCCAGCCTTTGACTTGGAATTATTGAGAATTAAACATTTTTTTCTGAGCTTTACACTTGCAAGTTACAGCTAAAGGACTTATAAAACCTTGAGAAATCATCACAACAGCTTATACTTAAACAATCTTAGTGACTGATCCTGTGCACACCGTGCAGAATTTATATCACCAGAGATATTCAAACTGCAGAAAAGAAGGATCTATCAGACTGTCCACTGCTTACTTTCATTCTAAGAAAAGAAAATTTGATTCTTTCATCTAAAAATCTTCTCAGCTGACAGTCTTACAGACTCAGAAACTGGTTTAAAATTTATGTGACCATTAAACTTTGGTTTTATCTTCTGTTTCATAGGCATGCCCCTTATTAAATACCTGATTTCGTGTTTATACAATATAGGTCTCACTTTGGGAGCCCATCTGCATCACCACTTCCTGAAATGACACTCAGCAATTTAACTGAATCGACTTATTTTCAGGACTACATACTTGAGTCAACAAAATTTGAAGCAATCTACCAACTTTGCTTCTGGGATGATATAACAATTCCATATCAAGAGGATGATGCTTTGGGGATTCCCGTCCTTTCCTACTTTGGAAAAATTAGCTGATAACCTCTCTCTCTGTTCCAGTCTTGGATCCCATTCCATTGCCTGCCTTAGATCGTGCAGGGGGAGACTTCCACCTCCTGCAAAGGCAGGAGCCACAGCCCCTGTCAACAGGAAGCAGTTAATGAGGACATACTGTCCTCCCTCATCAGCCCTAAGATATTTCCCTAAAAGATTTCATGGATGGAATTTTCTGAGGGTGAAAAAAGACATACTAGTAAGCCAGGGCAAGTATGTTAGGGAAACTGAGAATGATAGTTAAACACCCAAGGAGTTTACAGGCATCTAGTAAATGGAAAAGCCTATCTTCGTAACAAGGATACTTAAGAGTACATGGTGTACACTTCTCCTCCCCAACCAGAGTATAAATACCTTAAATCATCCCAAGAAGACAGAGGGAAGCTAGGTAGACAGGGACAGGGGCCACAGGTGGCGGGGGTGGAGGAAATAAAACTGAAAATCCGAGTAGGTGAAGTTACTAAGGCACCCCACTGGGCAGGGAAGAAAGGGTGCTCGAGGGAGACATGAGCTTTAAAATGTTTAATGTTGCTGACAGGCAGCTTGCAGATAACCAATCACAAGGTAGTAAGGCATATAAACCAATCCCAAGGAATTTGTGAAGGCAACATTCTTTGAAAGAACTAATCAGGAAATAAGAAGCATATATAAAAAAGCACGTTTGTGTCCGCTTCTCTCTCTCTGGTGTGCTAGGTTCCTGGGTTGATGGCAGGAGATGTGCTCTCCTGTGCCCACGTGGCTTATGGCCATGTGGGCCTCCACACAAGGACTATTAGACTTTAATAAGCTTGGATGCTGAACTACTCCTGACTATACCATGGGAAGGAAGCCCTGGATTCTGGGCTGCTCCTGGAACCTCAGCTGCACCTTCTCCAAGACTGGTTCCTTTCAATAAACTTCAGTTCCACTAACACGACTTTAGTCTCCGATTTCGTGAGACAACGAACTTGGACTCAAAACCCCCGTATTTTGGGTTTAATCCTACCCAGGGAGACAGATAGCAGAAATCCAGTTAGTACCATTTATGCCAACCACACTCAAAGGCAGATGCAGTTAAGGCAATAAATCTCATTTTGGCACATCAACATAAAGCTGATGCATATTCTATTGAGATCCTCCCTTAGTACCTTCCCTAAACCCCAGGACTTAAAAACCCACAAGAAAGAGGACCCAGGGGCTTGCTCTCCCTCCCGGAAGCATGCGCGTGCCTTTCCCTTTCCCGTGTTCGTTACCCACAGGCATGCATCTCTCAGACTGTAAGGGTCGCCATGAGACTTGCAACCAGGAGAGCAATGGGCAGCAGCAGCTCCTCCTGGCCTAACACCTTGATCCTGTCCCCAAGAACTCCCTTTTATCTGACTTCCCAGAGAGCCACAGCAGGCCCACCTACGCTCTTTCCTCTTGCTTCTTCTGTCCTAAGCCCTTTCTTGTTTCACTGTCCCCAACTTTAATAAACATACTCTAAAATAAAAATAAAATAAAATAAAATAATAAAATAATGTAACTAAGTAAAAGACAACCTAATTGATAAATACATGGGATAAATGATTTAGAATGTAAACTAATTTTATTAGGATAATTTAACGATTCCCCATAGTTTAAATGAATGATATTAAAAATAAATATTTTCTATAGGAATTGTAAACCATAAAGACAACTATGATGAGAAGAATGGCTATCAATTTTCTCTATTCAGTGATATGATGTTTCGAATTTATAGTAGTAGCATCAAATCACAAAAATTAAGGGGACTGATTTTCACCTTATAGAAG